ATTCATTAGCAGGCAGTCGTTCGGTGGACGGAATTGCCCAAAAAGCATGATCGCACCGGCTGCCCTGGTGCGCGCCACTATTTCAGATTGGCTCAAACATTGATGATTCAGTTGAAAGACAACAGAGTGTAAACATCTTATGTATTTTAATAGACAAACAAATTTTTTTTTTTTGCAGAAACATGGTGAAAAAATTGACGAGAGCTTGCTTCATGAGCTTTTGAATGAAGTTGATCTAAATAAAAATGGCGAAATTGAACTGAAAGAGTTTTACCAGGTATAATTTGATGCTTTTTAACTTCAGCGCTCAAAAATCCTGAGTTTTCTGTTCACTTTATATCTGTTTTGTTAGCAGGGTTACCAAGTTCGTTCTGACTGTATTGAAACACCGTTGATATTACTAGGATGTAGCGAGATGTCAAGCGCAGTTCGTCTGTTTCCAGCAGCGTCTGCACTTTTTCTCCCCCTCTCATATACATGCATAATCCGTAGTTTTTCCTAGCGAACTTCTTTTCTGTTTATTTCCGGGTATCTGCAAAATAAAATTGTTCTAATGAACAACTTTTTACTAAAACCGTTCCTTCAGAACTGATTTTTTAAATTTTTTCAGCTGTACAGCGGGCTGAAAGGAGGACAAATTGCGCAAAACCGACTGGCTCGATATCTCGATGAATTTGAACCGACTCCTGTGTCAGTGTTGCGCTCCGGAGGCGGCGTTTAGAATTTTTCCAATTTGATAGAAATTAATATATCTCACACTTTAACTAATTCGGGCCTTTTGAAGCGAAAAGTCTGAAGCAGGCGAGAAGATGCGTAGACAGGGAAGCTCATTTGTTGCGGGTAAGTGACAGGAGCACAGAAACCGAATAATTCTGGGGTAAATAAGAATACTGAAATCATTTTTCTAATCGAAGGTGCCATGCGCGCAAAGCATAAATGCCAAATTCAGACTTTCAGCAAGAAACCAATATGTTTTTTCATTACCGTCTTTTATGGAACTTTGAAGTTGAGGACTAGCTGCGATGCATCAGGCTTGCCGGTACGATCATGCGTTTTTACTCTAAACTTGAAGCAGTCAGGTCTTTAACTATGTGTGTCGTGAAT